TGTACCCAGCACAGGGTACAGCAAGGGCTAGACACTGCCCTGATGGAGTGCACAGCGCTGAACAGTGTTACAGCCAGGTATAGAGAGCTGCCCTGGGAGGGAAGGGGAGTTGGGGGCTCCGGAGGCACTCCCAGCACCAGGGAAGCCCAAGGCTGGGAGCCACGGCCTGGCATTGCTTCCCAGCTGCTAGGGAGGAGCTGAGGGAGGGGGCAGAAGGAACAGCATGGCAGCCTCCATTCAGCCTCTCTTGCTCCTCACCCTCTGCAAGGTGGAGAGCTCTGGGAGACCCATCCCTCCTTCCTGACAGGCAGCTTCTTCCCACGGTAAGGCCCCATGCATGACTTAGGCACTGACTGGTGACCTTGGTGCCATCTCCCTTCATCCCTCCCTCTGACAGGTGGGACTCAGATGGTAGGGAGGGGACAGAGAAGGACCAGCTGGATTGCAGAAGGCTGGGTGCTAGGGGGCTGCTGCACTTTCCAGGGGCCTGTCTTTGGGAGGTAAGGGCAGGAGTGGGCTCTTCCTGCAGCCCCTCCCACCCGATCAGACCTGGCTGCCACCTTTGCCCTCCTCCACTGCCTTCTCTCATCCTCATTGCAGGCCCCTGGAGCAGGAGTCCCACAATCAGAACACTATCACCTTTTGCGTGGGGGGCATTGAATTTATGTTAATGATGGTAGAATAATTTGGAAAAGGATCGTGAGAATGCATGCACAACTTCAAGAATGCAATCAATGTCAGTGAATTAGACATGTAGAGATGCTGAACTGGTATATGTTTTGTTGTGTATATTTTCTCCACAAAAACAAAAAGTACCATATCCCATGAGATTGAGAGGATGTGGGGGCTTCACAAGAGTGTGGGGGAGAAGGGCAGACAGTGTGACATGGAACACAAAACCCTGTACCAGGGTCACGAGTCTGACCTCCTCCAGCCGTGTGATTTTGGCCTGGTCCCTGCCTCTCCTGATCTCAGTTTTCCCAATTAGAGGTGGAGGGGGATGACTTAAATCAGTGCTGCATGAACTTTACTGTGTATACTAATCACTGTGGGCCCTTGTTGAAAATGCAGAGTCTGATTCAGCAGGTCTGGGGTGGGGCCAGAGAGTCTGCATTACCAATAAGCTCCCAAGTGATGCTCGTACTGCTGGTCCACGGACCCCACTTTGAGTAGCAAGGACTTAGACAGGCCATCTAATTTGGACCCTGGAGACTCAGAGACTGGGTCACTTGAGCCCTTTGTGCCCTCACAAGGCATCAGAAGGAAGCCTTGGGATTAGTTCCGGACTCTGGGCTAACAGAGGTAGCAGTTCCCAGGCAGCTGGGTAGTGAGGGAGAGGTGAGATCTCCTTCAGCCACTAATTGAGGCTGTTTGTGTTTGGGTAGAAAAGTCCCTTCTTGGCTACTGGTCAGCTTAACCAAGGGCTGCTTCTGTCTCTCGGGGCTCTTAGCACATTTGGAGCCCTGGTGGCACAGTGGTTAAGAACTACAGCTGCTAACCAAAAGGTGGGCAGTTTGAATCCACCAGCTGCTCCTTGGAAACCCCATGCAGCAGTTCTACTCTGTCCTATAGGGTCACTATGAGTCGGAATTAACTCCACAGCAAAGGGGTTTGGTTTTTTTTTTTTTTTTTTTTTTTAATTGAAAAAAAGACATCTAAAGTGTGAAGGAACACAGTATAACTTACCAGTTATCTGAGGCGCTAACGCCCGCCCTTCATGAGGACAGCAGCTATCAGTTAAATACTGTAACTCATTACACTGAGGATGGAAATGTAACCAGGGGGTATTGAGCATGCTCAGCTTTAGCCACTGCCTGGCTGCCAATTCCACTGAAAGGCCCAGCACCCCCCAAGGAGAGAAGCAAGCAGACAGAGCCAGCCAGCCCTCCCACTCAGGGCTTCCCCTCCAGCGCTAGCTCATACTGCTGGGTTAAGGCACTCATCAAGGTTTGTAGTTACTCACTGGCGTGTCTGAGACTTTGCAGGAAGGGCTGGGTGGATTCTCATCTGGATCTCCTGCAGCATTTTTGGCACAGAATGTAACTACCCAGCGATGGCATTAACTACGGAGGACCTCGGGTAGGACAGAGGCAGTGGAGGGGTCCAGTGGGCCTGGTTTCCATCCAGGCTCACCAACTAGCCAGAGCTCTCTCACATGGTATGGTTAGGAACTGGGAGACCCAAACAGAGAACTCTGGGGTGCTGCCCAGCTACCTCCACCCCTTTAAGATCCGCCTCTTCAGGGCCCAGATGAAGATGCCAGCATCCCTGGCAATTCCCATTGGTCAGGAGAAGTTGGGGGTGGGGGGGGGGAAGCACTTCTCTGGCTTCCTATTGGAGGATGATGGCTACAGTTCTGTGGTTGCCACAGCAACCACACTTAAAGGGCCAGCTTCTAGGATAAAGAGAAAAAAACAAAAAAATCCCAAACCCTTTGCCATCCAGTTGATTTCATTCCAACTCATAGGACAGAATAGAACCGCCCTATAGTGTTTCCAAGGTTGGAATCTTTAGGGAAGCAGAGTGCCACATTTTTTCTCTCGGAGCACCTGGTGGGATCGAATGACCGACCTTTCGGTTAGCAGCCAAGTTCTTAACCATTGCACCATCAGGGGTCTTTGGGATGAGGAGAGGGGCTCACATATTAGTGTCTTAGTCCCGTCTTTAGTACCTAAGAGGCTAAGCCATTTGGAGCAGTGGGCAGGGCTTCCAAGCTGGGGACCTGGATATCTGGACCCCTCCGGCAACGTCCCCCTCTCCCCACTCCCCATGTGGGTCCACTCCCAATTTCCAACTCTGTTGATATCAGCTTGGGTCCATTGCCAGGCAGAGAATCCTGGCTCTTGCTCAACACGGCCAGCTCCTGGAACTGTGGGAGGGCCACAGACGAGGAGCACCCTCCCCCAAGTTTGTGTGTGCACCTGTTTATATGCATGTGTGTATTATGCAGGCAGGTAGTTATCTCTGTGTTGTACCAGTGCCTGAGGGGCACGTGTGAGCCTGTGTTCATGTCCTTGACCTCATGCGCAAGTACCCATTATGCATGTGTGTACGTGAGGAAGGGGGCCAGAGGCTTCCAAACATTCTTGAACACTGTACACAAGTTGGCTCCCATCTTCAGCATCTAGGAGGAGCTGGCTCTTTTAAGGAAGGGGATGGGGAGTTATTCTGTCAAGTGTTTAATAACCCCCTTCAGGCCCCCTTCAGCCTGAGGGCAGATCTGAAAGCTGCAAGGTATTTGCATAATCAAGGCCCCACGTTCAGGGTGGGTCCTCTGCTCTGGTGTGTCAGTGAAAGACCCTCTCCCGGGTCCTGGCAGAGCTGCTGGCCCCATGCCCTCAGTGCCAGCCCACTGGCCAGCACAGGTTAGAGAAGGAGCTGGAGCCGTGTTGGCTAATGCCGGCGCACTGCAGGCAGGGCAGGGCAGGGCAGGCTGTGTGAACAGAAAGGGTGTCATCAACCCTCTGGGGGAAATCTGAGATGAGGCCAGATCCTGCCTGGCAGGTCTGTCACCGTCATCTTGACTTACACTTGCAGGGAAACTGGTCGCCCTGGGTGGAGACTGGCCCCAGATATCAGGGCCCTGAGGACCTAGCCCCCGGCTCCTTGGGGAGGCAAGGCAGAGCCCGGGGGTGTGTGGAACAGAGACACCCTTGGCAGGGTCCCTGTATGAGGATCGCCTGGAGGTGCAGGAGAGACCAGGCTTGTAAAAAGAAAATGGGGGCCAGGATTGGGAGCTCCAGCTGCAGAGGACCTGTGAAGGCCCAGGCCAGAGCCCTGGCCATCCTCCTTGAGGGGTAGTAGTTTTTGGTGTGGCAAAAGGGGCCTCACCTGCTCTTCTGCTGCCTTCCTGGGCAGCCTTCTTCCCTGCTCAGATTCTCAGTTTCCCCTTGGTTCATAAGAGCCCTTCCAGCAGTGATACGCTGGGTTTCCTGCCCCAAACCTGAGAGAGTGGAGTGAGGGGGATCTAGGAGCCAAAGCTGGAACAAGAAGGGCATCATGGGGAGGGGGTCGTCCAGGGGCAGGACAGTGGAGAGGAATCTCCTCTCTTGTCCTAGTTCCTGGTTCAGATGTTACAGGTGCTGGAGTGCAGGAAAAGAAGTGGCTCTGGCCCCAGGTGCAGGTCAGCTGCCCTTTGGTGGAGACCAGCAGAAATTGTTGTTGTTAGGTGCTGATGAACTGATTTTCGACTCAGAGAGACCCCATGTGACAGAGAACTGTCCCACAGAGTATCCTAGGCTGTAATTTTTATGGAAGCATATTGCTAGGTCTTTTCTCACGGAGCCGTTAGGTGGATTTGAACTGCCAACCTTTCAGTTAGCAGCCCAGAGATGAACTGATGTGCCACCATGGCTTCTTTTAGCAGAAGTAGTCCTTGTAAGGAAACTCTGGTGGCGTAGTGGTTAAGTGCTACGGCTGCTAACCAAAAGGCTGGCAGTCTGAATCCACCAGGCGCTCCTTGGAAACTCTATGTGGCAGTTCTGCTCTGTCCTATAGGGTCTTTAGGGTCGCTATGAGTCGGAATCGACTCGATGGCAACGGGTTTGAGTTTTTTTTTTTGTTTTTTTTTAAGTCCTTGTAAAAATCTCCAGGGAGCCAAGGAGATGGCCTGTGACTCTATGACTCTTCCTCCCCCTCCCCGTTGGCTCCTCATCTCTGCCTTAGGATCTCCACCTCCTTGACTCTCTCTTCACTTTGCTGCAGTGACCACTTGAAAGGGCGGTGGGGTGGGGTGATGTGGGATAGGGCTGTGGAAGCCAAAACTCAGGATAAGAAATGTAGAGCTGGGAGCTCTTAACATCTCTTGGTTTTATTTTTTTAAGTTCCTTGTAGAGGACCTAGCCTATCTCTACTAAACCGAGGGGCTTTCGATCACCCTGCAAAGACTGGCCCACCTGCCCACCCGGGCTGTCAGCTGAGGCATGGTGGAACGGCTGCCTGAGGAGAGGGCAGGTCCGGTGGGGGGGACCCCAGTGCACAAACACAAACCACACAGTGTTCAGAGCCCAAAGCACCGTTTATCCAGGCCCTGTGGAGCCGAGTGTCCCTGATTGCCCGCTCCCACAGCCTCCAGGGAGCACAGGCATTGTGGGCCCTTGGCTGGAGACCTTGCACATGCCCCAGCCCAGCCCACTCTGAGGCTCCTGGCTGAGGGTGCCTATGCCTCAGTCCATCAAGGTGGGGCCCTGGGGAGGGACTGGCCTCAGACCCTCTATCATCCCACCCCCAGGGGCTCCATCAGTCCTGGCTCGCTCAGCACCATATTAAATAGCTTCTTTGCAATCTCCCTTAAATAAACCCATCCCCAGAGCAACCCACCCCACCCTGAATATATTATTCTACTGACTAATGCCTTCTAGAGAGCTAACGAGCTCTCTCCTCCTGCCCTCTGCTCCAGGGACTCCCTTCTCCCTAAAAAATCAGGGGGAACGAGTTTTCCCTCAACCCTGGGGCAGAGACAAGGGGAGGCCTGGGTTGGGGTGGAAAAGCCAGGAGTCCTCAAATCTATCCCTTCCCTCCCTAGGGCACTTTCTCCTTGCCATCTTGGCAGCCTGGATGTGTCTTACCCAAGGCCCTGAGCCATGTAGGAGGTACCCTGGTTTTGGCAGCCCAAACTGGCTCCAGGGCAGGGGGGCCTGACCTCGAGCCTGCCTGCTGCCTCAGCCCTTTGCAGTTCTCTAGACGTGGAGGGAGCTGGGGGAGACTCCAACTCTTGACTCCACTCCATCCCGGACCCCTGGGACTATGTTCAGGCACCCTCCACCCCCAATGTCTCCAGATCTCTTTCTCCCTGGGTCTGGGAGCAGGGGGACCCGGGGCCCAGGCAAGCCTGTCCTGGCCTGGTCAGCATCTGGGCCCAGGTCAGGCCTCATACCCAGTACTGGCCATTTTTGAGGGCAGGGTTGGGTGTCCGGCAGAACTGCAGCAGCTCTGGGTCAGGTTGGCTGCCCAGTGGGGGCCCCTGGCCAGGCACTGCCGTCAGCGGGATGGCCTGGCCTGGCTCCACCTTGCGGAAGGTCTCAGTGTCCCCGGCTAGGCCGTTGCGGGGCTTGGCGGTCAGGATCTGGACGTTGTGCTTGCCTGTCTTGTTGCGTTTGCGGAGGTAGAAGAGCAGTGGCAAAATGAGAGCCAGGAGCAGGAGGACCAGGCACGCGGGAATGATGACGCTGAACATGTTGGCCTCGAGGAAGCCCAGGAAGCCTCCCTTGGCCACGGTGGGCATGGGGCTGGATGCTGCTGGGCCTGGCTCACTTGTGGGTGTGCCGTTCTCTGGCTTCCCTGCTTCTGTTCGAGCAGCCTCAGGGAGACTGAGCAGGGCCACGCTGTAGGGCCTGGCTGCATTGTAAGGCTCAGTGGCAAAGTCCAAGGAAGCCACAGCGGGCGGGACCCCCTGTGCCCACAGCTCCAGAGTGAGGCTGTCGCCGGCGGGGCCAGGGGGCCGACCCTCTGGCCTGCCCACTTCCAGACCCAGCCTCCCATCCTCAAGGTCTTGCTGGGTGAACTGCTCCACAAGCTGGCCATCCCTGGGCTCCGTCCTGGCCTGGGGCACACGGACCACACGGCTGTGTTGGGGGCCTGCCAGGAGGCGGAAGCGGGGCACACTGCCCGTGAGGTTGGCCAGCTCACCTGCATCTAGGACGGCAGGGTCCAAGCGCAGGGTGGCACCCTGGGGCCACGGCCCACCTGCCCAGACATGCAGCAGAGCCCTCACAGTGACGTTCACTGTGGCTGACGCATTGGCACCCCGGGCCAGTGCCAGGACACTGAAGTAGTCATGAGCAGAGGAAAAGTTGGTGAAAGCAAAGACCACCTGCCCTTGGTCTATCTGGAGCTGGCTGAAAGCTGAGGCGGGCTTCCCATCCACCAAGACATGTCCATACTGGGGACCCTGGGTAAGGTGGTATGCTGCATCTGGCTCCTCCCGATCGGAAACCACCTGGAGCTGCTGCCGGCTCAGCGAGGCACGGCCTAAGGCTTGGGGCACCTCAAGGGGAGCCCGCAGCTGTACCTCAATGGCAGATGGCAAGATGTCCACGGCCAGGGACATGTGCAAGGGTGGGCTGGCCCCATCAGACACACTCAGCTGGAAAGTACCTGCCATGCTGCTCCCATTGGCCGTGAAGGCCAGCCTCCCTGCATCCACGTCGGCCTGGGTGAAGTGGGTCACAGGTCCTGGGCTGCCCCCCACCAGGCTCAGAAAGCCATTGTGGGGTGCCCGCTGTACCTTGTACTCGATCTCCCCAGGGGCTGAGTCTGGATCCACTACACTCAGCTGGGCCCGGGAGATGGGGGCCCGGGAGCCCTGGGTAAGCTGGAGCGGGACTGAGACCTGGGGCTGAGGTGGCCGCTCATTCACATCCCGCACTGTGATGACAAAGGCCTCTGAGGTTTGGGGCCCCACCACAAAGGCCTCCGTCGGCCCCTGGAGGTGGGCGCGGAAGCGGAAGCCATCCTGCTGGAGGCCCCCTCCGCCATGGGAGTACACCAGCTGCCCCGCGGCCAGCTCAGATTGTAGGAAGTGGGGCCGCCTGGCGTGGAGGGGCTCCTCGGACACGAGCAGCTGGCCTCGGGTGGGGAACTGCGTGACCTGGAAGAGCACATCGTGCTTGGGGCGCTGGGGCGACGGAATGCTGGCCAGGAGGTTGGAGGCATCGAGGGCAGTCACGGTGATCTGGGCCCGCTGGCCCTCAGGGACCCAAAGACCTGGGGGTGGGACACGGACTGTGAAGGTTCACTCCACCAGGGCTGGGCTATGGACCCTTAGACACGGCCCCCAGGGGAGGGTTGTACTCCCCACTGCAGACCAGGTCCCTCAGGATGGGGATTGGGGGGCTGTGCCCCCCTTAGACCAAGCTCCCAAGAGAACAGGACTGTGTCTTCCCTCAGACCTCCCACCCACCCTCCCCATAACTTCCCAGGTCCCGGGGGTTGGAGGCAGGAGCTGCTGACCCTGGCCTGGTCCCCTCCTCTCTGGGCCTCTCCTGGTATCCCCCTAACCTTGTCAGCTCATCAGACAGTTCACCTTTGTTCCTCCAGAGGCGGCTGGGGCGCTGGGGACAGGCAGTGTCAAAGGACACGGTCACAGTGAGGGTGGCAGCCACATCAGGGGCAGGGGGTGAGGACAGAAGGAGCTCCAGAGTGTCGTGGGCCTCCCAGAAGGGCTCGGGGGGCATCTCGTGCTCATACAGAACATTCCCAGCAGTCACCTGAGGGGAGACATCTTTGTTGGGGGCAAGAGGTAGGCCCAGCCCATGGTGCCCAGCAGCCTCCTCCCAGGCTGGCACCAGAAGTGGGCCCTCGGGCCTCCCTGACAACCCCTGAGGGCCCAGCCTCTGGGCTCTGTCGGCTGTGCCCAGCTCTGTGTATGTAACCTGCTCTCTCCCTCACTGCTCACTGCGCCCTTACTAGGCAACTGTGTGGCGGTGAAGAGCTGGGCTCTGCAGCCCGTTACCAGAGTTCAAATCCTAGCTCTGCCACCTTGGGCAGATCATCTCATCTCTCTGAGCCTCTGGAAAAGCAATAATCTATCTGTGCTTCCGTCTAAAGCAAGTCCTTCCTCTTTCACTCTGGGTCCCATCCTCTCTTGCCTACTGAAGACACCACTCCCATAGTCTCCCTTCTCTCCTAGGCTATCAATTTCCCCCTCTAACGGATCATTCCCATAACACACACACCAGTTGCCACTGAGTCAGTTCTGACTCATGGCAACCCTATGTGCGTCAGAGTAGAACTGTGTTCCACAATTCTATGGGGAGTTTTCGATGGCTGATTTTTTGGAAGTAGATCACCAGGCCTTTCTTCTGAGGCACCTCTGGGTAGACTCGAATCTCTACCCTAACACTCTCCACCCGGGAGTGTTAACTGTTTGCACCACCCAGGGACACCCCCATCAGTATACACATATGTTATTCTTTTTTCCATCTTAAAACACTTCTTTTGACTTTACTTTTCCCTCAGCTATCTCCCCTCCTTTTTTTCTCCTCTGCACCAAAACTCCTCCCAGGAATAGTCTATACTCTTCTACCACACTGTCCTGAACTCATTCCACCCAGGTTTTTGCTCCCACTACACCACCAAAGGCAGCATGCTACTAGATCCAGTGGTCTGTTCTTAGGGCTCGTCTGACTCACTCAGCCGAGTTTGACACCATTGGGCACTCCTTCCTCGGAGATCTCCATGGCTTCCAGGATATCCCACTCTCTTAGCTTTCCTCCTACCTCGCTAGTTATTCCTTCAGACTCTTCTTGTTGGTTCCTGGTCTCCCCCACATGCTATCGCTTGGTCTTTAGGCTCTTCTCTCTCTACTGGCGTTCCCCAAACACTCTCATCCAGTCTCATGGCTCCAAATGCCATCTGTATCAGTGACACCTTATTTGTATCTCCACCACAGACCGCCCTCTCCTGAATCTAGACCCATACATCCCCCTGCCTCCTCAACAGCTCCAGGTGGATGTCTCTGGATGGTCGAACTCAACATGCCCCGTGGATTCCTGGTCTTCTCTGCCTCTCACAACCTTCCCCACTTTGGTTGATGGCAGCTCCATTCTTGCGTTTGTTCAGGCCAAAACCTTGGACTCATTCTCCACTCTTCTCTCATGCCCCATCATCTCGCCCCATCATCTCTTGCCTGGATTATTATTTTGTCTCCCTGCTTTGGCCCTGCCCCCTCCTACTACAGTTTGTTCTTAACACAGAAGCCAGAGTGAGTCTTTTAAAATATAAGTGAGGCTATGTCACTCGTCTGCTTAAGATCTTGTAATGGTTCACCTCTGGGTCACAAAGACTCCCCTTCTGACCCCCTCAGCTCTCCGACCTCACCTACACTCTCCCTGAGGCCAACTCTATTCCAGCCACACTTGCTGTCCTTTAGGGTTACTGGCATACTGAACACGAAGGAATAGTCTTTCCCGCCATAAAGAAATATGTTTCCTCCCCCTTTTAGTCAAAATATGTCCTCTTGGCTTATCGTTTGTTTTCCCCTTTAGAAGACACAGAGAACTATTTTCCTTCTCTCAGAGAAACAGGGCTTGCGCAATACACAGAGAGAGGGAAACTGACTGGGGTCTTAGTGTGTGGGAGTCAGGAGCAGTGGGGACTGGTGAGCCAGGGATCTCTGCCCATTCTCAAGGGGAGCAGTATCGGCCTAAACGGGGAGCACTTCCCACCTGGTCTCAGAGGCCTAGCGAAGGTAACCAGCGCCCAGGGGCAATCTCTAAGTTTGCACCCGCTCCCTCAACAGTGGTGGGGGTGGGGGTGGTGATTCGCTGGCCAGCTTAGCATGGCGCTCCTTTGGACTTGCGCCCGCTCTAACGTCCCCTCACTACACTTCTGCCTGGTCTAAAGGGGAACACTACCCGCCTGGTCTAAAGGGGGAGCACGGCCAGTCTGAAGCGGGAGCAGTGCCTGGTCTAAAGGGGGTGGCAGCTCCTCAGCTGATTGCTGTAAGAGCGAACACAGGTTTTTAAGAACTGGAAATCAGGATTTTATGTGAAATCTCCCAAATGCTATATGCTGACAGTTAATTTTAAGAAATTAAATGGACTGTATAGGCCAAATAAAACACATCTGTGGGCCAGATGTGGCCCGTGGGGACTGGTTTGTAACCTCTGGCCCAGGCTGAAGGTGGGCAGGAAGGAAATCAAGACTCCAGGGAGGAGGGTGGGAGGCTGGATGCCTGGGCACAGGCACTTCCGCAGGAGGAGGTGTCTGGTTAGGGGTGAGGCAAAACACAGGCCAGGTGGGGAGGGGTCCCCAAATCCTGGGGGAGCAAACAGTGTCCTTTGGTGAAAGAAATCCTGGATTAGCAATTAGATGGCATAGTCTTGGTTTTGCCCCTAACTAGCCATATGTTCTGAATAAAGTTACTCGACCTCTGTGAGCCTCAATTTCCTTATCTGCAAAACGGGGACACTGATCCCTGCCCCGCTGAGCTCACAGTGCTGTGTGACACTGGTGCTGTCAAGACACGACCAGTGCCCTCCCCCCTTCCCCCAGGGGTGTATGTGTCTGCCACTAAGCCTCTTCCCAGCTTCCCTGGGTGGCTCTGCCAGCCTGGCCCCCGGTGGCCATTTGACCTAGTCCTTCATATTGCTGGGGTGTGGCGAAGCTCTGGGGTTAATGTGGGGACTGTGGGGTGGGGCAGGGGTCACAAAGGCCTGGCTCTGTACCCTCCCCCTTCCCAGCAGAGTTGGGCCCTTACCTCAGCCTGGGTGAAGTTCACCAGGGTCTCCCCAGTGCTCTCCTGCTGGGCATGGAACAGCCGGCCCAGCTGGGGGCCCCGCACCACATGGTAGAGCAGGTGGCGGGGGTCCGTGCCTTCGCTGGAGCTGGCACTTAGGCTGTGGCTGCTAAGCGGCTGGATAGACCCTGCGAGAGACAAAAGGGGCCTGTCAGCCTTTGACTGGGAGCCCGGGCAAGGCCTCTGACTGCGCAAGGCAGTGTGGCCTTGGCGTGCCACCTGTCAGCTCTGCCCCCTGCCACCCGCCATGCAGAAGTGCTAGGGCAGACCCACCTGGGCAGACAGTCAGCGTCCGGCTGCCCTCCAGGGTGAGGAGCAGCTGCTTCTGGGCCACCACGTAGAAGAAGTGTCCAGGGGAAGTGTGCTCACCGTCGGAGAGATCGAAGTGGAAGCCTCCGTCCAGGGCTCCTGAGGACAGGGGTTTAGTTGGATCCTGCAGGCCCACGACAGTGCCCCCACCTAAGGCCATCCCCATGGGCTGCAGGAACAAGCAGGGGTCCCCTCTCAGCACCCACCTCTGTGTGCGAACAGCACGAGCCCACCATCCAGCTGGGCCTGTGTGAAGCTGCGGACCTCAGTGTCCGGTGCTGTCCGCAGCACAACCTGTCCATTGCTGGGCTGCTCGATGGTGTACACCAGGTCCTCGGGCTCTGAGTCTCTGTCTGTGCCCCTAAGGGCCTCCGAAGTGATGGGCGCAGTGGCCCCCTCCCATATCTGGGGACACAGACCTGTGAAGGTTCTGCCTGCACCATGCTCACCCACCGGTTCCTCCCTAGAGCCGCCACCAGGGCTCCAATAGTGCTGTGGCTAAGGCCCCCAGCTGCCACTGGGGCCCCTCGCCATTTGGAAATTTCCCTGAATCCTATTCACCTTCCCTGTCACCACAGGGCCCCCAGGCACTCTCCTCGCCATTGGCCTTAATCCTGCCTGTGCCTCAAGGCCAGCTCAGGTTTCACTACCTCAGGAAGCCCCCAGCTCTTACCCTCACCAAGTTCTCACTCTCAGACCTCAGCCCTGACTAACAGTGCTGCTTAGTCTGCTGTCTTCCTGGTAGGGCTGGGGGCTCCCCTCCAGCTCCTCCATAGTGTATCTGGGCATGGGCTGGGCACACACTGGGCATGTTGATTTTTGCCCTGACCAGGACACTGAGAAATGGACTCTCATTCCAAGTGCAGGGTGGCGAGGGTGGGGGTGGGGGTGCTGAGAGCCAGGAGGCTGTGGGGCTGCCCAGTCACACAGCACTGAAGCAGGGCTGGATGAAGGCCCAGGTTTTCCTAGCACAGTCATGGGCCCCAAGCAGGTGGGTGAGGGGTGCGGCGGTGCAGTCAGCCCCTCCCCATGCGCCATGTGAAGGGGTGTCCCCCTCACGCCTCCCAACTGCCAGCAGGGCAGGATCCAGTTCCCAGGGCTGGGGTCTTGCTACACATCCTGTTGCATCAGCAACTTCTGGTCAGTGTTGGGGGAAAAAAAAAAAAAAAAAAAAAACAACAACCCATTGCCAAAAATGGATTCTGACTCATAGTGACTCTATAGGACACAGTAGAATTGCCCCATAGGATTTCCAAGGTTGTAAATCTTTACGGAAGCAGACTGCCATATCTTTCTCCTGCGGAGTGGCTGGTGGGTTCGAACTGCTGACCTTTTGGTTAGCAGCCAAGCACTTTAGTCACTGTGTCACCAGGGCTGGAGGAGGTCTCCCATATCTGGAAAACTAAGCCTGGTGGGATTCTTGGGCTTCCTCGCTCCCTAGCCCTAGGAAAACTCCAGGCAGACCACTGGAAGGAGGGGCCGTAGTGAATGGGGTGGGGCTTCAGTGCTGAGCTCCTGGATCAAACACGGGTGGATAGCACCACCTGGTGGCTAAATTGCTGCACAGCAATCCCTGCCTATAGTCCCACTGAAGCCCTTAGCTGTGCTCCACCCCTCTGCCAGGCTCCCCACCACTCTGCAGATGCTCCCCACCACTCTGCAGATGCTCCCCACAGGCACATCTTATACCACTAAAGACTCCCAACACCTCACGTCAGAAACAGCCCAAGTCAGCCCTCTTCTGAAACTTTCCATGGATCCTGCAGACCCCGGAGTCCACGCCCCAAAGGCTACCATTGTGTGTGGATGGGGTCAAGCCACACCCTTTCTGTTCTAAAAGTGACTACTTTTGTGATCTAGAGAAATTCTACCCTCTCTCTGGGCTGCAACTTTCACCCCTGCTGTATGGGGGCACGAGAGACTTGGGGAACCAAGGTGTGGTCTTCACTTGCTGAGGGTGGAGGTGGGGAGTTTAATTACGCTCCACCTGAGCCCACTCTCAAGGGCTTGAAAGAACTTTCTCCAGGACTTCTAGTCTTGAGCCATAGGAAAAACCTCCTGCTTGTGCAAGTCCAGGAAACAGCAGGGTCCCCGTGGGGGCATTCACAAGGCTGCCCACCTCACTCATAAGTGTCCAATAACAAAGCCCTACACTGTGTTCCGCGTTCAAAGCAATAGCTTGTCTCTCCTCCCAACAACCCAGTAAGGCATGTGACAGTGTCCCATTTTATGGAGGAGGAAACTGAGGCTCAGAGAGGAGGAGTCTTATGTTGGGAAGAAAGGGATCCTGGCCTTCTCTCTGGGAGGGGAGGTGGGGGTGGCTCCAGGGATGCTCTCACCTGCAGGCCTGTGTTTGTGGTGAGGATGGGGGGTTGGTCATTGACAGGCAGGACAGTGACAGTAAAGGCCACAGGATGGCTCTGGCGGTTCATCTCTGAAGCGTTGGCCACCAGGACGAAGGTGTCTGTCAGTGTCTCGCTCCCATCATGCACATAGCGGATCAGCTGCTGTTCCACCTACAGGAAAATGGGGGCTGGAGGTCAGGCCCCAGCAGGCACCACCAGGGCTTGGGCCCAACATCTTTCATGCCCTGCCTTTGGGTGCAGGAGGAGGCTGACTCCTCCAGAGCTTCAGTTTATACAGGTGGGAAATGGGAACAATAATTTCTATCTCCCAGAGTAGGTACGAGGAAGAACTGAGATAGGGTGCCTAAAGCAGGGGTGCTCCATAAACTTGGGCTCCTTCCTTCCCCTCTGTACACGCCCCGAAACAGGGAGTCCCTGGGGCTGCCCCCACCCTGCTCCAGAGCTGGGCTGCATGCCCAGGGCCTCCGTGACAGCTGTACCTCTCTCCAGGAGAAGGCACGGAGGGTCCTGTCTTGAGGTCCTTCCTCTCTCTGCAGGGCCCCGTGCTGCGGTGGCTCCAGCACCTGCAGGTTGAGGCCCGGCAGCCTGGGGAAGTAGGATCCAGTGACGCGAAGCAGTGGAGGGGCCAGGGTGCGGATGCCGCCCTCGGGGACACTGAAGTTCTGTGCCTCCAGGGGGATGGCAGCGGGCAGCACCTCCAGCTCCACGCGGATGCCCTCAAGGGGAGCGCCAAGGCCTGAGGTCACGTCCAGCGAGAAGGCATCACTCCAGGCCTCAGGGCGGGAGTGCAGGTAGAGGACCTGGCCTGCATCCACTGCCTCCTGTGAGAAGCTCTGCACGGGGTCCAGGTTGGGTGGCTTTCCTGCGGAGGCGCTGTGGGACACCATCACCAGGTAGCCAGCACTGGGCGGGGTCTTCACTGAGAACACAATGTCTGCGGGCGGCACTGCCTCCTGGGCTGCCTGGTTAACAGAAGGTCAGGAAGACTCACAGGGGGCCATGGAAGGAAGCTGTCCTGGGCCCTAATGACCAGAACAGGCTCAATGCCCACATCTCTCTCACTCTCCAGAGAGTACCCAGGACTCTAGATGCCTCTGCTCACTTAGACACACACACTCAGGTTCATACACACAACACCCAGACATGCAGCTGATCAGAGGGGTTTACACACGCCCACGTCCACCCCACGACACAGTCACGTGGTCAAATGTGACGTACACAATCACACGTCCTCAGACTCACGGACACAGGCATACAATTTCACCACACACTCGTGTGGGCATGGACACACATGTATATCACGTGTATACACATGCAGGGCTGGATTAGGCATCTGAGGTCCCTAAACATTGATAATCTGTGGTGCCCCTCCTCTGCTTACTCATGCATTCGAATGGGATATACGTGTATATATATGTGTGTGTGTGTGTGTCTTAGCTATTCCATGATGTAACTTCTTTTTGAATGTGACTATAGTATTAGCAATTGAACCAAAAGTGGCGTATGCCACTTTAGTGGAATGAGATGAATGGGATTATAACATTTTTAGTGGTACTAAGATTTTTGCTATATACCACATTTTCTACAAAAAGAATATTCCACATATTCTACAACAAAGAAAATGAGTCAGTGAACTTAATTGTTTCAACAATCAGTGTAAAATTCTGCTGATGTCTCACAACGAAAAATTGACTTTCACTAATTTTGCTTTAAACAGCTCATACTTACAATTTGATGCTTGTTTGTAATAAGTGCTATCAATGCTATAAATGAAAAGATGTCATGAAAGAAAATTTAATGATCAGAAAACAAATATTACAACAAATTACTATATTTTTAGATAAATTTTTCATCTCTAATGTGTTATAATTAAGAAAAACCATTTTGTTCTATGCTTTGCTCTTACAAATTCTTCAATGATTTCATCCCAGTTAAGCTGCTGTACAACATCTACTTCCATACATAATAAGGAGAAGGAATCAAGTCTTTCTTGAATCACTGTTGTATGCTGAGGGTTTTTGAGTCTCTTTAGGGACGAAAATGAGCATTCTGTTGTGCAGTTTGTGATCATTAAAGTTAGGAATATGCTTAAAGCCACTTCAACATTGGGAAATACACATTGTATTTTATCTTCTATTATGGAATCATGCATGCCTACATGAGTAAAATTTGTCTTTCCTGAATCTGTAAACTTCATTCTCCTGTGAGAATGAAATGGTCACACTTTTCTGGAAAAGTGTGTATTTAAGTTATAAGGATAAACTTGCAGGAATTTCTTGGAAGCCTTCATGCATTTTCCATCAGGTATATCCACATTATTTAAGATGGAAAACCTATCTGAAAGAAATTCGTACACTTTTGCCCCTCTTTTCATGCAAGATTCAAGTGTGTCAATGATGGTGTAGTATGCGGTTACGTGAAATTGATCTCTGGCATTCAATGAAACTTCTGGAGCACTTCCATCATTTACTTGTTTCTTTCTAATGCTTCTTTGACGGTCAACTGTTTGATAATCAGTATTTGGCAGTCTTGATTTTGTTGTGTTTTTAATTTTTTCAAAATCTTCTCTTAAATTATGTAAATACCTTGTTAATGACTGGAAGGAATCTGTACATGTCTTTAAATTTACTCCTGACTCTTGGAGAGCTTGACTTGTCTGATGAAAATGCTGCAATATATCATTCCACCTAACCAATATAAATACATACTCCAGTGTTTGCATTTTGTTGGCGATGGTTTCAGCTTCTCTTTTGGTATCTTCTTTTTGTGTCTGGTCTTCGGTAATATTTTCTAAGGCATCCAGAAGCAGCACATACGATTCCAGGATTATACTCGTTGCTACAGCATGCACTTCCCAATATGTATTAGAAAGACATTTTAATACTCGATCATTGCCTAAACTGCCCATCAGTGAGTAGAGGCAGCAAAAAATGTGTAGAATAACTGAACAGTAGAAGAAAATCAACTGCTTTGGGACGACAATCTACTATGCTACGTCCTACAGGATTACGTGAATGCACAGCACGTGGTATGAAATGGCATATTAATTACATTCTAAAATTTTCTGTTGCATACCTTTATAGTGACCTGACACATTGGCAGCATTGTCATAGGACTGGCTTCTGCACTTAGAAAAATCACATAAATAATGAAGTATTTGGTTTGCAATTTCTTCACTGGTATGACTTTTCAATCTAGCAAATGTGATAAATCGCTCAACAGGTTTTTCGTCTGTTGGAGATATGTATCTTAAAACAATACTTAGCTGATCTTTATGAGAAAGATCAGGAGTGGAATCTACAGACAAACTGAAATATTGAACTATACTTATCTCACTGAAAATAGTTCATCGAACTTTATTGCTTATTAAATTTATTAATTCTTCACATGTTGTTTTAGACATATATGATGGGTTGCCTTTTCCTGTGTTAGAAGAAAGTTATTCCACAAAGCAAGATCTGTATTTCTGTTATTTAAAGGGTCTGCAGATGCAACAATTTCAGATTGTAAAATAGTTTCACTTTTTATATCATTATTAATTTTTTTTACTACAGCAAGGAATGGATGCAGAATTTGGAACAAATTCTGTTATAATTGTATTGCTATTAGTAATTTCAGCACTAGTGATACTAGTACAACGATTTGCACCCATTAAACTTGAGTGTTCAGTGGAAGAAGTTTCTTATGATTCATTATGTTTTAAAAAGGAAGTTAATTTTGGAATTGTCTTTAGGGATTCAAATCCTTTTCTTTTTATCTTCTGTGTGCTTTTGTTTTTGTGCTCCACTTAGTTGTTGCCATTTCATTTTACCTAGATATAAAATTATGTCACTTTTTAAATTTGGTTCTAAGGTAGTAAATATATTTAAATAATTG